AAAAAAACACAAAACAGATCAAAAGAAAAAAACAGATCAATAATTGATCATCATCATCATCATCATCATCATCATCGATCGCACAAATCTGAGCTACAATCATCGGCGGAGGAGATCGGTGAGGATCGACTTTCTTCTCTCTCTTTCTCTCTCTCTCCCCTTTTCTCATTTTTCTCACGCGAAAGAAGTTGTGTGTGAGTGTGACTGTGTGAGGGAGTAGAGCAGCAGACACAAATATATATATAGACGGGTAGAATCGTAATTTTACTCCGGGGAAAAAACGGGGCGGGGGTCGGGGACGGGAGTGAGGACGGATCGGGGACGGGACTGGAAAATGTATCACCGTTCCCGGCCCGAACATTATCGGGGATTTATTTTTGAATACCATCCCCGACCCGTCGGGGGTATTTTTTGAAAAAAAATTGCTCTAATCGGGGTTGGGGGTTCGGGTCCCCGTCGGGTTGGTTTTAAATTGCCATCCCTAGGACCCAGTGGGGTCTGTTTTTTTTTTTTTTTTTTTTTAAAGTCTTGCACAGCTTTTACGTGGGGCTGGAGGTGCCCCCTGGGGTTCCCCAGCACAGCTGCTTCCCATAAATATGGGAGCTTCTATCTACACACACCAAATCCCCTCTATACACACACTTAATGATATTTATTTTAATTACAATTTTATCCCTAAGTGTAATTACTATTTTAGACATCTACACAATTCAAAACCTCTCAATGCACACATCCATCCAGACTTCACACATCCATCCAGACTTCACGTTGAAGCTCCAAGTTCAGCTTCTTCCATTGAGCTAGAAGTGAAAGCACTCAACCTTAAGCTCCAAGTTCAACTTCTTTCATTAAGCTCCAAGTTCGTAGCTTCTTAATGCACTCATTCATCATACATTAAGCTAGAAGGGAAAGTATCAACCTTCCTCATTCATAGCTTCTTCCTCATTCATCATTGTTATGGAGGATTTTTCTTCTAAAAATCAGCAAATAAATGTTTATGAGAAACATAGCGAAGGAAATATGAGTTTCTCTTTTCTTTCTTTTTTTTCCAACGTCGTTCAGATAACCAGAGTCGAATAATTATATTTTGTTCAGAAATCTACTACCGAAATAAGTATTTATTTTCGGAAGTTGTTGCCCGAAAAAAGTATTTAATTTCGGAAGTTGTTGTCCGAAAAAGGTATTTAATTTCAGAAGTTGTTGTCCGAAATAAGTGAACTTTTACAACATTCAACTTCCGAAATTTTAAAATGAATTCGGACAACTACTTCCGAATGAAGTAAATTTTTTTTTCCCATTTTATATTCCAAATTTGCAAATTGCATACCAAATTTACAGTTTGGAATTGCAAATTTGTAATGTTTATAATACAAAAATTTGTAATGTTTATAATACAAAAATTTGTAATGTTTATACAGTTTGGAATTACAGTTTGGACAAATTAATCTTTATAATGCCATTAAAAATTTGTAATGTTATACAAAACATGTAGGAATATGTGTCAACTCAAGGAAGTCAGGTTTGCGCAGATTTTGGGTTGGATTACACTATTCAATTCACAACTGAACAGGTTCACTCTACGAAGTTGAAGAAGTTGGAGCTTTTGAAAGAGATTGTATATCTGGGAAGCACTTTCTTGTTGAGCTGGAGGTGAAGCCCAAAACACGTCCTCGGGATCATTTCGTCCAGGTATAACAGAAACTTATCAATTTGTGCATGTACAAGAAGTTATGAGATATGACCACTAACTCAATTGATATTTGGTGTAGGTTTTGTTGCAGCCAGGTCATCCAGTTCCTCCTATAGCCACTAATTGGCGAAAATACCGTCACCATTGCGCTGTCGACTGGAATGATGCATATGTGCGTCGCATTCAACATTTCAAGGACATTATTCATGATAATGTAGCTACTCGAGAGACATTTGATGTTATTGATGTCACATGACACACGTATGCATTTGACAATGTTAGAATTATGGAAAAAATTAATGGATGTGTTTTTGATGTTGATGTTGATGTTACTATTCCATTGTAATAAGAAAATATCATTTACAAAATCAACAACCATTGTTACCATTCCATTGTAATAATAAAATGTCATTACAACAATATCATCTAATAAGAAAATATTAACCACTGTTACCATTACAACAATATCATCTTACAAAAAACACCACAAAAAATTCATTAACTAACAAATAACATGTCACGAATCAGCTGTATGGTTTGAATCAGCTGTACCATCTTACGGAGCTAGCGGTGCATCTCGGATGGTTTGAACCCTGCCAAACTGCCTCAAAACTCTATCTGGATGATAGGGTTCGACCACGTCTAAGCACTTTAAGCATCCATAGTAGAACATAACCGGGTTACATGGATGTCGGTCTCTGCAGCTGTGGTATGGATCCCAAATAACCTGTAAACGTAAAGTGTTTTTGAATTAAAGTATATAAAGGATAAGATAAATGGAAAGTGTTAAAATTATCTCAGGACGAGTAAACTTACATCAGTCGCTACCAAATTGTCAAGCTCGGCTCGAAAAGATTTCAAATGATCAATGGAGGAACCCGTCTCTCTCCTAGATGCCTAATGGTACACGTGTGGCATGTCTTCATTGTAGCCCATGTTCTGGTGAGGTCAGAATGCTCGGAAGTGCTCATAAATTCACGCCTCCAAAAGAGTCATATAACCACCCATCTGCTTAACCCCGGACCGGCTAGCATACCCCAACTGTCTGTATAAAAATGCTAATGCAACAGCACCCCAGGTGTAAGTATAAATGGATCCTAAATCCATTAATAAGCCAAGGTAAACAACGGGAACCCTGCCGCCACTCTTGTCACTGAAGAGTGTACATCCCAACAGAAAACAACAAATAAGCTCTAGCAGCGCACTGTATAGCTTCATCGGGGTCTGAATTTGTGACACCAGCAAACTGACTTCGCAATCACTCAAGCCTGACTGAATTGCCACCAGCAGTAGAAATCTTTTCATGTGCTACACGTTCAGTAATCCCCAAGCTAGAAACTAGTAGTGTAACTCCATGATAATCCATCACATCTGGTACGCTGACTGATCTGCCTACAATAGGAAGGCTAAGAATATTGCCAACATCATCTAAAGTCCACGTCATCTCACCACCTGTCATGTGAAATGTGTTCGTCTTAGGTTGCCATCTCTCAACAAAACTGGAGATTAGAAGCTTGTTGACGAACCGATAAGTGCAATGAGCTAACTGTGACAGCCCAGATTGCTCAATAATGGCTTTGAATTTGGTGTTGTTGTCTACTAACCACCATGGTCATGCAAGGATCTTCGAAGAGTGATTATGACACTTTAGGGGCCCTCGTTCCTATAACACAAATGATATCTCATTAGAAACTACCACCCCCAAAAAAAAAAAAAAAAAAAACTCATATACAAATGAATTTCACTTCTACTCAGGAATGTTTACCTCCTCGTGCCAAATAACTGCAGCGACATGACTATTGAAACTCCGCAGTATTGATGGATCAATCGATCCACCTGGAAAAGCATGAGTAAGGTACTCTTCCTAGACAGTAGGAGAATCGGGTAAAGAGGCGTCCTCCACAGCAATGTCAGGTATATCACCACCTTGAACTCATTTTTGGCTTCGGCTTCGGCTTCGACTGGCATTGGGGATATCATATTCTACCGAAACTGGATCACGACCTCAACCACGACCTCGACCTTGTCCTCGTCCACGCCCTCGTCCCCGTTCATGGTCAACATCTAATTCACGACGTCGTCTATTTGAAGCAGTAGGTGGGACACGTTGTTGATATTCAAAATCCATGTTATCTGCAAAAATTAATATGTTTGATGACCATCATCTTGATCAAACATAATACTATAATAATCTCATAATATATATAATTTTAAACACATTAAGTATCACATTGTTAAAAATAAAATTAAAAAAAAGCTATACCATTTTTCAATTCCATGTTAGTACCCATTGAAGCTTAAACAAGTTTTGAAAAGGTGATCTCAAATACAATATGTAGTGATTGATTCATATAGGTATAAATTATGTTACAATAATTACAATTTTAATGCATTTTCTCAAATTATTTACTACTCAATAAGAGATTACCACAAATGTAAAAAGAATATACAAAAGAAGGGAGGAAAAAGAAAAAAAAAAAATGTTCGGAAGTTGAAAACCGAAAGTATATATACTGTTCGGAAGTTGAAATCCGAAACAAAAAATTAATTTCAGAAGTTGATTGTTATCTGAATTTAAAATATTCGAAAGTTGACTGCCGAAATAATCAAAAATTTTCAGAAACCTACTGTTGAAATAAATCACTAATTTCAGATTCCTACTTCTGAACAAAATCCTTAATTTCGGAAAACCAGTTCCGAACGGTTTGTTTATACTCCGTGGGCCTTCGTTCGTTTTCAAAATGATAAAAACAAAACTCTACATTGCAAATTAAATAGGAACGAGGATTCAAAAGTAAACTCATCTAATGAGAATTGAAAATGTGTTGGAATGCTTCAATGGGATGTCTTGATGGATGCAGCTTTGGGGATGAAAACTGTGTGAAGCTTCTACTATGGGTGTGTGCATTTGCACACGGTAAGTTTCAAGGTTGAAGATGTAGCTTCAGCTTCAATGGATGTGTGTCTTTGCACGGTTGGAAGAGCCGGGTTTGGGGTCGGGGGTGTGTGTATAAGAGTAGATGTGGAATGAATCATGTGTAGTGAATAAATTAATTAAAAATTAATTTTTTTGGTGTATGTAATGAGAAGGATGTGCAAAAAGAATATTTGGTGTGTGTAAATAGATGCTCCCCATAAATATACCCACCAACAATGATTTAGACCACTAACAAATACACCACTAATAACACTAATATATTGAAAATGATAAAAAAAAAAAAAAAAGACATAAAAAATGGATGAGATCAATTACGACATCGTTAATATTCCTTCCAGCGCTTCCTTTTTAGTGCTCCAACCATTTTTCATATACCCACACATATTCCAAATCACTCTCTATCCATCTCAATCACTCTCTATCCATCTCTCTGTGATTCGATCAACCATGAACCGTTTCAGAAGATTCGAGATCATCGACCCCTCACAATCTCTCTTCCTCACACAAACCTCCATTTCCACTCCCAAACCCTTCTCATTCCCCCTCTCATTCCCCTCATTCCCACTCCAAGACGACCTCGATTTCGCTCTTGATCTCTTCTTCAACCCACCTGCCACACCTTCCCTCCTCGATTTCCCTGATTTCGACACACTCACCGATCTCATTCACATTGACAAAACCCCATTCTACACCTCCACTCGGAGGGTTGTTCAGCACCGATTCGGTTCCCAGTCCTACTTGCAGAGCCTCTGCGACCGAGTCTCCGAGCTCGAACTCAGCTTCGACCGCCTGGTTAACTCGAAGGCTGTTCACGGCGGCTGTGGAGATCGGAAGTATACTTTGACGGCGGAGATCAAGGATCCGGACAGGAAATACAAGTGGACGGCAGAGATCAAGGGCGAGAAGAAGAAGAAGGACAAAAAGGAAGAGAAGGAGAAGAACTATAAATGGACGGCTGAGATTAAGGACAAAGGTGAGGATGCTCCTCCGATCACGAGGACATACACATTCAGAACGTCGAGCGGGGATGGAGGTGAATGCAGCGAGTCGGAGAAGAAAGAGAAGAAGGAGAAGAAGGAGGAGAAGAAGAAGAAGGGGGTGGCTGCTGCCCCCATTAGACTGGTTGAGATTGAAGAGCCTCCCAATCATGGTGCTTTCCTTCTAAGGCAGGTCTGTATGTATCTTCAATTTAATCCATAAAGTTTCTGTTTTGAGTTCAGGGTTTTTCTTTTTCATTCTCAAACCATCAATTTCATCAAGTTCATGGTTTGAGTTCTAGTGGTCTAACTAGTGTGCAAATTAAAAATGGGACAAAAAGGCCATTTAAATCATTTAAACCATATTTACCCAACAGTCATTTTTCTTACTTTTTTGAATAAACTACCCATCCACAACAAATTGGATTAGTGTTTTGTTGTATGGTTAAATACTATTTGAATTTTGAAATGACCTTTTTAACTTTCAAATTAGGCTTCAACCGTTACTGATGTATACAATAGTATCCAATTGATTGTTTTGTTGTATGGTAAAATTGTTCAAAATTTTGAAATGAAGTTTCTGACCATCAAATCAGGTTTAAACTGTTACTGATTTGTACAATCGTCTCCTATTAAACCACATGAATGAATTAAATAGATGAAATTGATAGTTTAAGGATGAAATAGAAATATTTTGAAAGTTTAGGGGATTAAAATAAAATTAACCCTTCTCGTTTATCACTAATCACTGTTGATTTATAATTAAGCTGTTGTTTTCTGCTAAAAAAATGTGGTTGAAAATGGCTGAAATTTTGTATGAATTCTGTGGGTGGTGTGGAGGATAGGCTTTTGCAAAGAGGGCAGAGGCTGCGGAGAGGAGCAAGGGGAAGAGGAAGGAGTTGTCGCCGCAAGATGCAGCCATGATGATACAGATGAGCTTCAAGGCTTACCTGATACGGCGGTCTCAGTCTCTGCGTGCCCTCCGAGAGCTGGCAGTTGCCAAGGCCAAGTTGAAGGAAATCAGGGCTCTGTTCAATAACTTCAGTTACCGGCGTCGCATTTCTCGTGATGCCGAGGAGTGCCAGAGGTTCTCTGAGAAGATCATTGTCCTGCTTCTCACTGTTGATGGCATTGAGGTAATGTAATCTCTCTGTTGTTTTTCTACGTTCTTATTGTGTTGTTTTCACATAGAATTACCAAAACCTTTCGCTATTGCGCTTTGTTATGAGTTTTGTTTGATTAGAATCTGGCCATCATAAAGTTCAGCGACTTAAATTGTTTAAAGACTTTGTAATTTCAATTGATTGATGAGTACTTTTTTGGTTTATTTATACACTGCACACAGCCTTGACCGACAGAACTTGTTGGGAAAATTATTTCTGAGAACTGTTATTAGGAAATTTCTGAAAACATCCCATATTTTTAGAAATTACTTGTAACTTGTTTTATGAATTTTCGAAAACTTCACAAAAATGAAAATGATGGGTGGTTTTGGATTTTTCATTTTTTCCCCTTTCTTTCAAAAAATGGAAAAACAAGAAGGTAAAATGAAATCATCCAAGATGAAAACAAATAACAAACATATCCCAAGTATGTGGCTTTGATTTGTCTGTCGTATGCCATGTCTTGCATGATGATTTGGTCATTGGATGGTTGCCTACTATAAACACTTGATTGGGTTATTAAGATGGTGTGGTTCCTGCTTACTGTTATTTTATGCGAGATGCAGGGCATGAAGATGCTGATGCTTTGATGAAAACAAATTCAACTACAAAAGTTTGATGTTTGTATTACTTCTATAATATGTATATCTTCTTAGTCATCAGATGCTGGCTAACGACATTGATGATTTCTCTATACTGGCTGAAGTTTGATATTAGGGTTCTAGTTTATTTTAGTAGAGCATAAAATCAGGAATAGGTGTGAATTAAGTGCTGTTCAATGAAGCCCCAGATGAGTGATGATGTAAGTAATTTATTGGAATTCGAAGGTCTTATGTATGGTGAATTGTGCTCTCTTCTGATGAAGTCTCTCTTTTCTGGTGCTCCTAGCATGGGAGTAGTATGGTGTTCTTTATGATTCTTGATCTACTGATTAATTTTTTTTTACGGGTTTTCAAGTTTACATTGCTTATTCCGGATCACTAGGCAACAAAACTGATCCTCTAATTTGCTGATTTTGCACTTTTATTAGGGTGCTGATCTTATGGTGCGGGCTGGAAAAAGGTCGATGGTTGATGAGCTGGAAGCAATGCTCGACGTAGTAGACCCTCAGCCTCCTGGCAGATCTCTTTCCATGCGAAGGAGGACATTTGATATGCCCGATGGTCTCATCCAGAGGGAACTTGCAGCCGGTGTTGCTGAGGTCGTTCAAATGCTTGATCAAGAAAATGGTACCTTTGACCCATCCTTGTAAGTCCATAGAAATATGGCAAAATCACCTCATTTTGAGGTTTCATGATGTTGTTATCTCTCAAGTAGGTGTAGGAAGGTGCACTTCTAGTTATCTTTACCCTCTCATTCAACCCTAATTGAGAAATTTCTGACTCGTTATCTAGTTGGTCGTGAAGAGTTTTATTGTATTGCATTAACAGTTGAGCTTATTAACCTATTGAGAGGGTTGTTTGTGCTGCTTAATTTTGTGTGAGGATTAAAAAGCCTTGGTGTGTTATTATTAGTGACCACTTGGTATCCTCATCTATATTTGCTTACACGTGAGAGCTCAACTGGAAGTTGATATTGTTCCCTCCAATTTCTGCAGTAATGGTAGAGACCCTCACAAAATACAACTCTCACAATCCGCAAAGTGATCTGAATCATTCATGTCATTGTCAGACACAATTTTTAAAAAAAATTCAAACACATCAATGATTAATACATCAGTGGGGTTGTGGGGGTTCCCTTTTGTGGGGTACCAAATATTTTTCATTTGAGTTGAGAAGTCTGTAGGTTGTGGATGGCCGTAAGAGGTTTGTGGTTGGTTCTGTGTGGGTCAAATTAGTGTTTTTTGTTTTTTTGTTATTTTTTGGTTGACGGACTCTTTTAGTGGAATGTTGACAAAATAATTTGGACAGCTAGGGTTTAAAGAAGAAAATATAATATAATTTGAATGTATATTGAATGATGAAAATGATCTTCAGCCTTGCATTATTAATCATTTGAATAAAGCCCCTCTTTCTTTTTCTGCTTCTCTTTCCATTTTTCTTCCAAATGTGTTTGATCTTGTTTATTTGGTTAGCAGGGGAGCTAAGAGCAGTGTTAAGTTGGCTAATTTTATTTATAATATAAAATGAATAATTTCCAATACTTATTGTTTTGAACTAATCAATATGATTTGAAATTCTTTTAGCACTTGGGATTTGTAAAGAAATTTTCTTTTTTGCCGATTTCTTAAAAAAAAAAAATTGCTTTTTTTTAAAAATAAAATAAAATAAAATAAAAATAAACATGAGATACAAGAGTTTACTTTTTGAGTTGAGCTACAATAGTTAGATTATTACAAATTGGAATTCCAGTGGCATTGTCGTTGAAATTGTCAAATTTTGACATTGTTATTCTTTAGTGTCAAATATGACAAAAGTTTTGACAAATTGTTAAATTTTAACGTTGTTATTAATAGCTAAATGCATTTTTTACAAAGATCAAGTACTAGTTGTAAAGATAAAGAATAATGCTTGGGACTCCCTTTTGGGGGTCACCCCTCACCCCCTTTGCTACGTGGTGGGTGGTGATTGGAGGAGCAGGAAAAAAAAGAAAAAGAAAAAGAAAAGGTAACCAATGAGAGAGAGAGAGGGGGTCAAAGGGGGTGGGGGAAAAGGGGGGATGAATCATTACTGAAAGATAAAATGATGGTTGTGTAAAAAATATACAAACATCGGAGTAAAATTGTCAGATTTTAATATATTTGCACTATAGCATAACTAAAATTTGACAATGAAACCCAGGGGTGGGTGGCATTGTGATTAAGGCTTGAGATTTAAGCCCTAAGGTCATAGGTTCAATTCTTTCCTTTATGAGCCAATCTCCTGGGCGAAGTATAGTTGGTTAGGAGGTTGGACCTCAAGTTGTCTATTTAGCACTTGGTGTGGGTTCAATGCTCTCCCGTCGTACGAGTCCTGACTTAAGCGGAGCTTGTCTTTGGGAGGTTGGGCAGTTTTCAAAAGGTTCTAGTCTCTTCGCTCAGAACGGCTAAAAGGATACCTTGGTGATCTCTGTAAGGGGCGTTGCTTTTGGACCTGCAGGAGGATAGGGAGGATTTTCTTGTCAACAAAAATAAAATAAAAATTTGACTAATGGAATGCCAAATTTAAATGGTGTGTTATAATAATTTCCAAAGCAAAATTTGACACTGCAGAATTATAGCAATGTGAAAATTTTGTTCCCAAAAGGTTTTAGCAAATTTATTCCTTATCTCTTCCACGATGGGCTTATAAAGAAAAATTGTACTTATATATAAAATTTTATACAAAAAACTTCATAAGAATAATGTGATAATGTCATTATTGTAAATAAATTCATCTCAATGATTTTTGTTTTGAAATGAATAGCTAATAATGAGTGACAATATTATGTATAAAATTATGTATAATATATATTTTTTTGTATAACATTACTCACTCATAATAGTATTTCAATTTAACAGATTTTGTGAAAATAAAAAATAAAAAATAGCATTTGTACTATTAGAGTAAAATTGTTTAAATTATATATATATATATATATTTTGTATCATCATAGTAGCATGTTAACGTTTGGCTCAACATTATTATTTTAGGTTCAACCACTAAAGAATCCCAAAGGTTGAGATGGAATGATAGATTCAGTGGTATGGCCGTTCAGCCCTTCCTAAAGAAACCCAAGGGTTGAGTTGGACTTTAGTGTAAAAATGGTTGGACTGGGCTGGGTAAATGGCCCAATGTTCAGATTTCACAGAAGGTCTTTTGTTAAGGTCTGTATTTGGAAAAAAAGAAATTTGAGGTGTAACGGTGGCGTGTTTGGTTGGCGGATTTGAGGATGGATTTAGAAAGAAAATAGAAAATGTAAGTGAAAATGCAAATAAAACATACCTATATTTATCTAGTTTCACACACTTTTTTCTTTTCCCTTTCCAAATATTCCCCAAATCTCCCAACCAACGATAAGGTTATCACTATTACTTTCAAATTCTTTCTTTGGCATTTCCCTCCTGTATATGTGATAAGTTAATATTCATTGGCTTATATGTAGGGTTTTTTTTTTTTTTGGTTTTAGTCGGAAAATCACATCAATCGGTATCACGTAACATTAATTTTATAATATTCATTTGATTAGGTCCTTTGCGAATAATAGGGGATATTTGGTTTGAGGGGATAGGATTAGGGGAATAGCAGTACAAGTAGGTTTCACATTTTTTTTTTTCTTAGTATTATGGAATTTTTTGAATGAGATTAGTGTTTTAGGAATTAACTTTTTTAATAATATTTAAATTTTTTATGAGAAATGTTAAAATAAAAGAGAATAATATGAATAACTTATAGACACGTTTTTTGTTTAAAAACAAGAGTCTCTCAAACAAGGCTCATATAATATTTGAAGGATTATTTTTTCCATTGGGTGGTGGAGAAAAATATAATCTAGGAGGGGGACTAATTGTCC